TTACGTTATGTTTATTCATAAATATCTTACTCTACAAAATACAAAGAATACGTTGATTAAGTATCCAAAAAAATCAGATTCTATTACCACTCTCATTCTACGTGGGAGAGAATCCACAAGTCTTGCCGCATAGTTTTGACCGTGAGCGGCATTGTTAAGTCCCGGATCAGGCCAGTTTTCGGCCATAGCGCGTCCCTCTGCCCAAAGATTTTCAATAGGGTTCAGGTCTGGTGCGCATGGTGGCCAGTCATCTTGTTTCTCGGCAAACCACGATTGAAGCCATAGAAGTCATGAACAGGAGACTGGTCCTGTTGGAATTGAATTATACCCTTAGGATGCAATAGCCTTACTGATGGGATCATGATATCTCTCAGGATGTGATGTACTGAGTGGCATTTAAGTGGCCTTCGTTGGATCATTCCAACCCCACGAGGTGACATCCAGTTCCAAACTGCTACTGAGAAACTATCTGACCTAGGTACTTGCTTTACATACCGAGAATTATAGCGACTTCCTTGGGTTCTGGAAACGCGAGCGGGTCCATTACTTGCGGAGGAGAATATACTCTCATCAGCGAAAATAACAGCAGCCCAAATTCGATGTAAATGTTCCTCCACAAATGCCAGTCGATAGATCTGGTGTTCTGCCAGCTTCGATTTTCGAACTGCACTTCTGGATCGCAGACCAGCCTCCGAAAGTAGGTTGCGAATGGTTCTGGAACATCCAGGTAATCTGGTGGTTCTTCGCGGTTGTGAAGAAGTTTGAAAAGAGTTTTCCGCCGCTGCTTGTATCAAAACTTCATCTTGGGCAGCGTCTGAAATACGCCAAAGCCCCGTACCTAGTTTCCTCCCGGATTTTCCCGTCTCTCCATAACGTTTAAGCCAGTTTTGTGCGGTGCTTGCCCCAACGCCATGCCGACCAGCCGCCTGAAAGAGAGAGGTGACCCTCTTCTACTAATGCGATAACTCGCTCTCGTGTGGCTTGGCTTTGGTAAGCTTTGTCGTATAATGAATACGGAGTAGTTCAATTTGCTTAGCCGCGATTTTTCTTTTCTTACCGAGTGGCAACGCTGCAGAGCCCCTTATCTCCTTTAGACCTGCAGTCGAAAACACGGAAGTACTATGAAGGACAGATACAAGTACCGTGAAGTTTACGAGAGAAAATCGATAATATCTCTCAACAAAAGAAATGAGTTTATTCCACTATTATATGACCTAGAATATTACAGCAAGCAAAAAACATCACTAAAATGGCTAATTGGCAGTCTAATGTTTAACTAGAAGCAGCCATATTTTGCGTTAATTGTTGGTAGAAATGGTTTTTGAAATGAAAGAAATCGCTATTTAGTGTCATTTTTTATTTACAATCTGTATTACATTTTTGTGCATAAAAAATGTAATACACGTATTGGATTTCTACATTCAACTGAAATAGATGTTTGTATGATATTGTAATTAACTCCAATAGCATAATCAAAGTCTAGGAATATTTTCGCTTTAAAATTAATTTTCGACAAATTGTATATTGAAATTTATTTTATTTTACTTTACAGCTACGAAATCTCAATACCCATGTAATTAAGGCCTCCCACATGAAGGCAAGGGATATCAGAAATATTCATCATCAGAACCAATGGATCACATTCATCATCAAAACCACCTTATTTACATTGCAAATTCAAAGCCTTGTCACATTAAGAATTATTGCAATTGCCGAACATCAACAGTTCCATAATTTTTATTCACATTATATATCAATAGCATATGGGAATCTATACACGCAATTACTATTTTATTTATTTATATGTAGTAGTATAGTAGAAATAAAAGTCATATCAAGGCGAACAGATGTCAAAACGGAATTTAATTAATTACTTAAATATACAAAAATAAGTCGATATTTCTTGTCATAATACCAGAATTTTTTGATATTACTTGTTAAGCGAATTGTCTTTCCGAGCTTTAACGAGTGCAATTTCATGGTCATTTTTTGTGTTCTACGGCAGTGAAACAGTTTTGTTCGAATAAAAGTGAAAATAATATCGCAATATTTTAACATTCTTCTTATTTAAGATTATTATCTATAAGACTATAGAAGATTATATTATTTTAGTCTCAATGCCGTACGTCCAGACCTCCTATTACCACTTTTTTAGAATAGTTTGTTTCCATTCCTCTTTCGCGATCGCGAATTTTGCCTAAATTAAGCATAACATTGACAACTGTAGAATGTAGTGATTCAGTGAATTTTATGACAATGAAGAATGGATAAAATACCTACGTAGAGTGGGACTCGAACCCGCTCCTCCACGAGCACTGAGCCATTCTTTCGCTCTGCTAACACTCCTCTCATAACACATTTTATATCAACGAAACTTGAAAGCAACATTACGTATACAAAAATGTATGTCAATTCAGTTTCACTGGGACAAATCACGGGTCTTTTTCCTCTGTACTACTACTATTTAGCTCTCAATTAACGTTAAGGTATTTTATACGCTCTCCAATAAAATAAATTTAATCTTCATAGTTCGATCTACAGAAAGTAGTTTATACATATATATATATAAATATATATATATATATATATATATATATATATATATAGAATTACAACTATACATATACATATATACATATATATAATATAGAATTACAACTAGCACACTACAACAATATACAACTAGTTACAGAACCCAAACATTACAGAACCAAAAAGGAATTTCCCTGCAAGAGAAAAGAAAGAAAGAAGTTTCACTTTTACTTTCTCACACTTATTTTGTAAGTTGAGAAAGTTATGTAATCATGCGCTGAAAAACGGCGACGTTTCGGCGGAAATGCCCGGACATTTTCAAATGAAGCCCCCGGTCATATTCATTTTTTCTCAAAAACCGGCCCCTTTTTTTGTAAAAATAGAGTAAAATACATTTATGAATGTAGTATATATGGCTGACATTCAGGGTGAACTCTGAATTTTCAATACTTTTGAAATATTTTGAAATGTTTCGGGCGTCTTCCTACAACAACATAAATGAAGATAGAGATTTTTTTCTTCAAATAAAATGTGTTATCCATAGTAAGTACTTTCATTAAGGTCATGTACATTTCTTTGAAAATTTTAGTACTTTTCACGCAATATTGCGTGCAATATGTGCCATTTTAAAAAATAACAAAAACAAGATTTCTTCAAAAACGGATAATTTTTTTCTTTAAACTTTTGGTAGAGAGAGTGCGAAATGTACTCTTTGAGATGACATAAACATCATTTTGCTCTATTTTTTGCTTTTTTTCAAAAGTTACAAAAATGTTATTTTTTGACCTGTCTTGCACATCGTTAATGTTTACATTAACGACAATTTGTTCAGATTATATTTACGAGTATGAGACATTATATGACATTATTTAAAGTACATGTACTCATAAATATAAGGAACATGTAAGGAAATCATATATAACGAACGAGTTTCTCGAAAACTCAATCGTTTTCTCTAAAAACTAGCTCAAAATTCCGTATTTTCAGAAACGTTCAAACACCATTTTCTCAAAAACGGCTCCATCTTTTCTCAAACTTTTTCTATTCGGCGTTTCATTTCGAATAATTGACCCTAGGAGATGACGCGTCCGGAATCACTAAACAATCAATCCAATCTAGCAATGACAGATCTTTGTGTCACTATGCTTTGGCGCCGTATTATATCAAAATGAAAATTTATTATTTTACAGAAATCTAACTGGTTTAAGCATTGACCAAGCTGATTCTGAAAATGATTAGTATTGTGAAAGTCAGTAGTAAGGGGTTGTTGATCTTCGTATTTGATAATGCCACATGTATTGAAATCGAAAGGAAATAATTAACACTCGTGTGAAAATATTTAATGAAAACAAGTTTGTATTCACGGAAAAATATGTTTTCACTAAAAATACAAAAAAATATTATTGAAATTTAATTTCAAAATGAGTCTTTTCCAATTTTTTAGCAAAACTTTCTTCGTAATGATTCGTTATTCTTGAATTATCTTATTCTATTGCTTTTACTTTCACTAGCCAAGGGCGTTAATCCCAAATATGTAGCAGCAAAATGTTTTAAACAGATGATATGATACTTTGTTTTCTCAAAATAGACTAGAATGGAAAAGTCCCATTTTGAAACTAGGCCCTTCAATTAATGTTATCTGACAGCATTTAAGTTTTACATATATTGATTGCTCCACGTGAGTTGGAAAGTTTTTTGTTTAGTTTTTGAATAAAACAAAAATTGTAATGTTTTGGTGTTATTGAACCTGCTCATGCCGGCTGAAATGTTTTAGAAATCTCCAAAAGGCATGAGCGTCCATACATCGCTGAGCTAATTGAACCGTTATAAAAAATGCTCGAGCGATGCAGGGTTAACATTTATTATTGTTATCTCCATAGTACATAATGCATATTTTTAATTTTAAATACAAGCGATCAATTTTCTAATTTCTTCAGAATTGAAATATTCGCTTTCTTCGCGAAAGCGAATTTTGACCGCTTTATGTATAAAATTGTCAAGACAAATGTGGGATGTTGTAATTTAGTGGGTTTTAAGGCACTGTTGAATGGATAAAATATCCATATAGACTGGGACTCAAACCCGCTGCATTACTTGTTCCAGACCAACACTTTGACACTGAGCCATTCCTGCGTTCTTTCGTTACTTCTCTTATAACAACACATTTTATATTAATGAAACTTGAAAGCAACATTACGTTTACAAAACTTAATGTCAATTCAGTTTCACTGGGAGGAATCACGGAAGTCTTTTTCCTCTGTACTACTACTATTTAGCTCTCAATGAACGTTAAAGTATTTTATACGCTCCCCAATAAAATATCTCCGTACTTCATAATCTTCATAGTTCGATCTACAGAAAGTAGTTTCTAAAATAAACGTTAGATAGCGCTGTCGGCAAGCAGGGATGTCAAGCGTGGTCAAGCGCCATCAACCACTCAGCCAAGCCATTTTTGACGCGAAACTTCATGTGTCGAAGAGTGTATATAACTGTATTGGCACCAGAGTGAATTTAATACATACAAAATGGTTTGTTACTCTTACTGTTAGCTCTTTGTTCTTTAGAAAGACAATAATGGGAAATAAATCACTAAACGTTTTGCCAATTGAACTGATGTAGAAATTCTATAGATATGTGCCTTTCAAAAGACTAAAATGAGGCAGAGATAATTTGTATTAAAACTTTGAAGTGTGCATTAATTTCACATCCCCTTCAAGAATGCTCTCATTGCTTCTTGGTAGGATTGTGAGATCCATAAAAGGCTTAAATATTCATTACAGGTAAATAATTTAAATTTACAGTTTTTCAGGGAAGCACTGTTTTTAAACTAGAGATAAATATAATATTCTGATAAATGCATGTTCTACGTGTTAACATTTTTACATTTATCTAGGAACTCAAAGGAGGACATAACATATTTAAAAAAAAAAAGAAGTACTGGAACCAAAAGTACCTAGATTGCAAAGAGTAAATTATGGATATTTTCCTTGTTAAAAAAAAAAGAAGAAGAAGAAAGATCAACATTTGGAAATCTTTCATTTTTCTTAGGGAGACCTGAAAAAATAGTTAATATTTGAACCTCTTCATTTTGTAATAAAATTTGCTCATCAATTTATTCCAATTATTATATTTTTTTTAATTAGCATGAAAACTTTACAAATTTGGCTTTGTGCTTATAATCTGGAAAATTCCCAGAAAATATGCTGCCTTCAATTTTGAAACTTAACTTGGAATTTCTTTGAATATAATGCATATAATTATACTTGAAATATGAAATTTACAATTGTTTAGAATGTAGGTGCTCGTTTTTAATTCACTAATGAATAAAAACCATTATTTCACTTTTAAAAAAGTTAAATATAAATTTTATTTGAAAATTGAATTGAGGGTCAGGGGTTAGCACATCCAAAATAAAGGGATATCTTTTATTTTATAATAATAATTTTATTATAAATCTTTTATTTTAATTATTATTCCTAATGATTGTCTCAATATTTTAGATTAAGGATTTAATTCCAATGGGATTATATACAATCAAATATCTTAATACTTTCACATTAAATAGCCAAATTAATATGAAATATAGAGGGCTACAATGTTTTGTGAGCCAGTTGTGACCACATTATTAAACACAAAGAAAGATTTAAAATTATAAAATTACATCTAATAGAATGACTCAATTATTATTAATTCTAATTGAATTACTCAAAAATTAAATATTATGATCTAAATGCTGTCAAACACGTTCATAGAAATACAATATATTAACAGCAAGCAGCAGAAAGTAGAGAAGGATTTTGAGAAATGTCATGATTTACACAAACTTTGTTTTACAAAGGTTATGTTGTCCTAAACCCCTTTATCATAAGTAGTAGTGACTTTCCAACATCATTTTCATACTATGAAGAAACAATATTCCTGAAAACTAGCATATTGAGCTAAAAAGAGGTGTATAATAATGATATCTAAATATTGTTTATGACTGGTTTCAACCAAGAAATTGATTAAAGTACCAATGATCATTCTATATTTAAATAAGGTTTTATATTGAAATTTGGAAATACACATGGATGTACTGTTATATTTTTATTTCTTGCTCACAATCAAAAAACAAAACAAAACAGTAATTCAAAAATATTTATGACGCTCTGAACCGAAATTACACCTACCCTGTCCCTGAAATACTTTGTGGGTCCGCACCTGATTAGTGATCTAATATCAGGCCTTCACACGTAAAATTATGAAACAAGCACACAGCAAATGAATACGCCCTCGGTCACGCTGATATACGAGTCATTCTATACAAAAGATTTTCTGTCCTCAAAAAGTTTCCTTCCGTGAACTGCAATGAAAATTAATATGTATTTATTACTACTGTACGTGTGGAAGGCGAGCTCAAAAACACAACTGAATGCTGTGGCACCTGCACGCAACGTGTTGGCTGATTCTCTGACCTTGAGTCAGCGAGTTCAAAATCCAGTACATTGTACTTGAATCGTATTCTCCGCCACAAGTATCATTGCGCGTTGAGTAAAACAAAAGACCGTATGCATTTTGTGGCAGATTTTCTCTCTCGTCGAGAAGGAAAGATTTTTCTTGCCTCAGTCAAGAAGAATCGAATCCAACGAAAAATTCTTGGCTTCCAAATACATGTCCGTTGCAGACAAACATAATAAAAATTATATTTGTCAGAGTATAACTGTTCATAATTAATTGCTATGTATTGTTCTAATTTTATTATTTTCATTGAAAGAATTCTTCTGAATTTGCGTTGCTTATCAAAAAGTATGTTTTCCTCGCGTTATGAAGGACTGACATTAAAAATAAAAGAAACAAAAACATTATGAGAAATATTTAAACATGACAAATAGAAAATCTCGACATTCACATGCTGCTGCTTCAACAATGTTCTCATTAACAGTACTGTCGAGTGTCGCCGTCTCCTTAAATCGAGGACCCGAATGTGCACGACGAATAGGATCGGAAATGACCGGACACACCGCGTACTTGCTCAGCAGACGCTGCCCGCAACTGCTGTGTGCTGTCCTGCCACTCCTGCCACCACTCGCAACATTGTGAAGCGGGACTCGCTGCCAAGGGCGTATAAGTGTATTTTCTGACTTTTACACACCAATTACATCGCATGGCAAATACTGAACAGTAATTAAATAATCGAGTGTTATTTAGAAGTGTGCAAATCATGGAACTGCCTCAGAAGCTAACAACAGATTTAAAGATCGTTCAACATCAAATGAAACTCGAGATACAAACTCACCAGGTAAGTTTATTATAATAAATAAATGTGTTAACTTAATGTTCTAAGTTCTCTAAAAATGTGCAAATAATAAACACAATTTTCGTGTCCGCGCTAAATATAATAAACAGAGTTGCTTTTTATGTGCGCATGTTTTATGTGACGTTTTATAACACTGCGCTCGGGCAAGGTATCGCATGCCTCCCCAGTGCATTATATCTAAGAAAGCAATTAAATACAAATTATCTTATTATATTAAGGCGCATCTGAATTTGTCAGACGTTACAGTATGTCGGCGTGATTTTTTTTAACGACATGTTACACTTAATATACGTGGACAATTCGTGGAAATTAAATTTTATTCGGGCAACTTGTTTTTCGTTATTGTGTGCCATGCCGTCCTGTTTTCTCTCGCACCTAACCATGAAAGTCAGCGGCGCAGTAATATTGAAGTCCTGGAAAAGTTAACAAAAGACCATATTAGTTCTCCCATATCCTTTTTACTTCTTCGCATCAATATTGATTGAGCCAACTTCATGATAATGCCAACAAGTTTGCCGGTCTTCAAGGTCGTTTGAAGCCATCTGTGGGAACGTCGTCGAACTTGCCAAATGAAGTTTCCGCGTTACTATCATTTACCTTAATAATAAAGTTTATGATCGGATAAACGATTTGTTTGTGAAACCCACTTACTCTGTTCTCAAAGATAGCGCACTGTCCATTTCATAAACTGTTCAATGCTGTCAGTTGTGTACTTTCCTACACATCTTAAATTAGTTACGGCCATGTGCGATTGTTTTCTTGTTATTAGCAAAAGCTCTGTAATGAAAACCGCTTCCATGATATTTATTCCAACAACATAGAAGTTAGATGACAAATTCACATGGCACACTTCCAAAAACTTTATTTTCCGCAGGATATTAATTGTATTTTAATTAGTATATTTCATTAAGTTTTTCTAGTTGCTATTCACCTTTAATTTTTTGTACTGTTTAATCGCTGTATTTATTGTTGGTAGTTATTAGAAAATTAGTAAGATAGTGAAATTATTGAAGATGATGAAGTTTTTATACTAGTCCCATTCGCGACCGGAACAATAATTTTACATTAAAATTTGTTATCGCTTCGAAGTTTATGAATTAAGAAATCGCTTCGACGTTATACCTGAATTCTTTATTACCAAGAGTTACGTTCCCTGAAATTTTGGTAATTATTAATATTATTATTAATATTGTTTTTATTAATATTGTTTATTAATATTATTGTTTATTAATATTATTGTTTATTAATATTATTATTTATTAATATTATTATTTATTATTATTACTGTGTATTGAAGATTTGTTTGATAATTTTTAATTTCATGGACAATATAATTCTTTTTAGTTTTCAGTATTGAATAGTAATGATATTTAAAATGATTAGTAGTATTGATGTGAACTACAAATAAAAACATATTAACCCCATTATGAAATGTAATGCTTTGTAAATTGGTAAAGCAACAGGATTTAGGTTTTTTTTATAGTGATAATTATATTTTCTTTGATATTTAATTTAACTTTATATTATTTCATTTGTCATATATTTGGTGTATATTCTGAGTGTTTAAAATAGGTTCTCTACAATCTAAATTGAAATTAATTATGGAGTTAATATGTTTCAATGTATTGCTCCACATCAGAAAGATTTCTTGCACCCAAAGCAAATTTTAAAGTTTCTTCATTTTCAGATAATGAGGATAAAGCAAGCCAAGGATCCTAATGTAAGTTCAATTAACTGGTCTTATATATAATTGGCTCAAATAAGTTATACATTGTTATATATTCATTTATAAAAATTATGAACATGATTTTTCAGAACTACAAACTTCATGATGATTTACGGGAAATTGAGAAACGTATATCAAGTCTGGGAGAGAAACAGGTAAAAAACCAATAAAGTGCAATTAGAATAGGTTATAAAGATTATAATGCACTTGTGCTAATGTCTACTTATCTGTTCGTTAACATTAGTTAACTTTAGTTCTACCTACATTCTTGTCCAAATAATTTTTCTGTGAGTTTTTTTAGAGGATGGAATAATTTTGAAATTTTTATTTCAAATCTTGTTAAAGAAGTTATTGTAGTCAAAATCATAGTCTTTTTTTATTACTGTGTAACATCAATTAATTCTTCATTTAATGTTTAGTTTTATGAATATATTTAATATAAATATTGATGACCTCGTGAAACTTTCTTTACAAGAATAGATGTATTACTTTTTTGTACAATTTTTCCTTTGAATTTATTAATTGTCCAGGATTTTTTCCCCTGACATATTTTGAAAAAGTGACATTTGACTTAATTCATTATGAAGAGTAGCCTTTGCAAAAATAAATTGCATTTTTAAACTTGTCACCAAAAAAAATATAAACTGCTACATTAGGGGTCTGAGGTACTGTGAAAAACATTTAGGGAGATTTATCAGTTGAAATCTTATGACTAATAGTAACAATCTACAATGTGCAATCATGTGATGTGGGGTTGAATTCAATATAACAGATGGATTTAAAGAATTTTTACTTTGTGTTTATAATATTGAAGGTCGGGTAAATTTCAGTTTCTAATAGAATAATCCACATGATAATTTGTTTATTCATAATTGCCTGGAAATGCTGTATACCTGGTCTCTGATTTATAGCCACCTAGATTCTATCTGGAATATAATTTGAAGTAATAGTTATTTAAATTAATAATGGTTTTAGTACTTTTTTTATTCTTCCTTTTCATTGTTCTCTTTGTATGCCGATCCAGGTGTGTGTGGTTGCTTATTTCTGCTGTTCAAATGATTTGGTCTCAGCAAAATTTTTAATGACTGAATTTGTGTTAAGGTTGTGGAGATCAAACTGTCTGTGTTTTGATTTCTTTTTTTTTCTTCCCCTTTTATAGAACCAGCTAATGAGATGGCTGAGGAAGCTCATCACTTCCATTCCTTCGAATAGTGCTTTAATGGCAAAAACTATTGCAACAGCTTTGGGAATTTCTGTAAATGGGACTCATCCATATTCAGGGTTTAATCCTAATAATTTATCTCCCATTAACAGTTGTATATCAATATCTAAAAAGAATAATGCTAATAGTCCCACAAAAGATCAAATTCAAAGCAATGGACTGCCAACTACTCCTGTAAATCTTAAAAATGAAACTGATGAATTATCAGATGAAGTATCTATTAAAGTGGAATCTAAAGAAAAATTTCAGTAAGTAGTCCTTTTCTTATAATAGAAAACGCAGGATAGAATAGTGGTTGAAAATGGAGTTGCAAAATAATGTAGCTTGGAAATAAAAATAATTTATAAAATATTTTATAAAAATCTGACTTGCTACTTGCGTTAAAAATTCTTGATGGAAGTTATTGAAAGTGGATTTTTTTTGACAAAAATAGATATTCAAGGGTTATAACATGCAGAATAATAGAAGAACAATGTACTGTCGGTGAATTATTTCATATCTATGAATAAAATAATATTTCAGTCATGGTGCATGTGTGGACATAAATTGGCTGTTTATCTTTCACAATCAGCACACCTTTTTTTTTTTCTATTGTATGTATTTTCCTTGGATGTGTAATATGAATTCCCTTTTTTACTCCTTTACTATTTCCCTTTAGTTCAGAGAAATTGTTTTCTTCTTTATTCTCCTATAAGAATGCTACTGCTTTCTTCTTGGATTTCTTTCTTCATGTGTACTTTTTCTCTTTTTTCCAGCCTCTCCTCTCTCTGGAGCATTTGATATGTCCCTCTCTTATTTTGTTTTACTTTTTTATTCTGTAGTTTATTTTTCTTTCTCTGCCCTACCCACTGCTTACTAGTATCTTCTTTTGTCTTTGTTCGACATGTTGAGTTGTTATATTACTGAAAATTAAATTGATTGTTTATTCCCACATTTCAGTGAAAGAGAAACAAAGTCTGTTTACAAAAATGTACCCGAGATTTATTCATCTCAAGGTAAAACCAGCAAAAATCAGGTGTCGCAAAATGCCAATGATATGTGTCAGAAACAAATATCAACAGAAAACAAAGACAGTTCCTTGGAACCTTTAACAGCTGAAAAGGAAAAATTCCTTTCTGCTATCGGTAAGCTCACAAATGCTTTATGTTATGTTTCTATTCAACTATTTTGTGTGGTGAGAGTGAATCATATTTGTATATTTTGTATGCAGGTTTAGTTACAAGAGAAATTCTGAAGGATCTTCAAAATAGGCGAGTAGAAAGGAAAAGGAGAAGTACAGCTAACCATACACAGTTTGTTTATGGGAGCAATTGGGATATTTCTTCTAAGGTATGTTGATTTAATTAAAACTAGTTCCTGTAGAAAATAATGTTGCAATTGGAATGTGATGTAATGTACACTATTGAGATGAGCTGGTGTATGTCAGACTTTACAGAAATTTAGATAAAGTATTGAATATTCCTTTCTGATTTAATTTTTGTCCCACAGAAACGAAAGAAGAGCAATTATCTCACTTCTTCTGGAAAACAACAGGTTACAAGGCAAGGAACAAAAGTTCAGAGTCCTCGTACTGAAACGCCAACTATATCTTCCAAGCTCAATCCAACTGTGTCAATATTCAAAACTCCATTACCTATTTCTAATCAGAATCAAAACTGCTCTTCTGATAACATTGTAAATAACAGTATTTCCTCACAAAAGGCAGTTGTCAAGTCCGTGCCTGTTGTCTCAAGTGTGGATAATGAACCAGATTCTGTTAGTTCTTCGGATATAACTACATCAGTAGTGATCTACAAATGTAAAGAAGGAGGATCATGCTTTGTGTGTCAGAAGCCAGGTAAGCAAAATTACTTTTAATCATAAAAGGTGTTTTTTCACACTCTTAATAAACATATATTTCTTCTCTTAATTAGCCTTGCTTCTATAATCTGACCAATTGAAGTGTGGAGTGTTTGCACAATAGTGTAATTTAATGGTCACTGAAAGCTACACAACTAGTTTAGAAATAAACACTTAAATTTCCACTTTTCTTTTTGAAATTTTAACTCAAAATGCTTTATGGTGAGTAATACCAATGAAATACAATACTTCAAAGTATAGGAATTGGCATAACTCAAAACCTTTTCATTTATCTACATAGTTCTCAAGTACATGTGTGATATATTCAAATTGTATTCAGTTTGTTTGCCATTAGCAATCTTTTCATGGTATTTGTTTGGTTTAGTTATTTAGAGAAGAGCTTTCTTTTGTAAATATTGTACTTGTTGAAAGCCAATTGTGCCATGATTTCTGGCATATTATTAAAAGAGAAGGAATAATCAAAGTTCTAGACCATGCATACCCAACCCCCTTTGAAATTTTTTTTTTTTATTTTTTTTTTAAGTTTGTTTCTTTGATCCCCTTAAGATTTTTTATAATATACAGCAAACTACATAGCTCAAATAATTACTTAAATGAATTTACACTAACATAAACAATTGTTAGAATTATATTTTATATTTTTTATACTATTATCATTTCTAATTTTACAAATATAAGAAAGTTCTTGGAAGTAAAGTCGCATATTCTAATTGCATGAAAATTCAATTTTCATTTGTGTGAATGATATTGACTTCCAAAACAAGAACAAACTTAAACTTATTGGATGAAAACAAGAGAAACAAATATTAATTATCAGTAAACAAATAATTATCAATTTAATTAATGTGTCTTCTAATCAATATTAATTGAATAGTTTCATTAGACCATTCCGTCTCCAGTGCACACTTAGCTCTTGACCTTCAAATGATTCCTTGATCATCATTGATCCCTAGTGAGTCGATATCTAAAAGGTTGGGAACTCCTGATCTAAGGAGACTTAAAAGGACTTGTGGTCTATAGCAGCAAAAACTGCTTAACTATAGGACAACATTTATAAACCTTTTTATAAAATGATTAGATTATAGAAATATATTGAAAAATAACATATTTACTATATGATAGTCGTTAGTAGATAATGTCAAAATGAATTAAGTCAATCATTAAGAAATCAATGCTTTATTGGGAATGTGAATAATATTGTTGCCATGATTGGGAAATGAAAGACTTCAATTTAATAGTTTGTTACAAAATGCTTGTTTATTGGCATTAGTGGGTTTGTGTATTAAATGAAAATCGTAAGGAAATTGAATTCTTGCTGTATTTTGAATGGAGGATTCTGGGCTATAGACAATTCTCTCCCGAAAAACTTCCAACAACAACAACAACACCTGTTTCCAAGTAAACACACAATACAGTCTTTAGAGCTAAGTATTAGAAAGCCCCTAATGAACTTCTCCACCCACTGGAATCATTAACTCTGTATCTTTCACCTCTTATAATATCTCTTGGTAAATATAGGCAATTGGTGCCTAATAATTGCTATTGCTGGGATAATTGGCATTTCAACAAGTATGATATATTCACATAAAAGTTTAGCTCCTCTAGTTAGGAAATAGAACTTTCATCATAAATGAGCCACATATGTGAATCATACATTTTATCATACTGAGATACAATCTCTGGATTACACTGTTATAAGGTTTCAGTCACTGGATTACACTGCACAGTATTATCAGGGATATAAATGATCTCATGCTGAAGAGCTAGATGATCAGATAGATACCTTGCATGTTTCGTGATGATCAGATGCCTTGCAATTCTTGTTTCTTTTCAGATTCAAATACCTTCGCTTGTGCCTGCAGTATTAACTATCACCAATCATGTGCTGAAATTGTTGAAAATTGTGTGGGGTGTGGTGGCCAGCTAATAAAAGGCAACATTACAGGTAAAAAATCCTTCAAATCTGCAGCAATATTTCTCTCCTTAATAAGGAGTAGATGATCTACTGTTTTATATTGATGTATAAGAAAATGATTGGTAACATTTAGTAAAATTTTAGCCCTGCCAAAAATAACTTGATATAGAGAGATCAAAGAGAAGGTTTTTTAATGAAATTGGAAAAAGAGTATGTACGTGTGGAAATGTTATGATGAAGAAAGAACTAATAGTATTTTATAAAATGGAATTCAGTATAGGTTAAGGTTAATAATTGGCAACCTAGTACTTAATTGATCTAATATTCATAATAAATTTTCATTAATTTTGTGTATATAAATTTATTCCAGAGTTCATTTTTTCCTGTGTTCTGTAAACAGTAGATTATTCTTATACATATGGGTGTTGAATTAAATCAGAGATTTATTGACGAATGTTCTAAAAATTAAAATGTGAATAAATCTTTTAACTGTATTTCTTAAATTTATAGTTTGAATATAAAATTAAATAACATTAAAAATTAATGGAATTGTTCTTTGGTTGTTACAATTTAGAAATTTACATACATGCTTTTGAAACTTTCTTAACTTCAAAAATAAAAATCCCTAGTTATGTTAATAAATGTTATTAATTGTACACAATAGTTTATTTATAATGTATCCCAATCTCTTGAAACAATTCTTGAATATCATGGTGATAGTTGTGATCCTGTCAAAGAAACGTATAACCAAGAAGACTAATTTATTTTTGAACAATGTTTAAATAACTACACTGTAGGTATTAAGAATACGCAATGATGTCTAATTTACTTGCAAAACATGAGATATTAAATACTTCTGACAGTTACTGGCTACTAAGTACAGGGAAATACCAACGGTAAGAAGTGATATGAAATTGCTTAGAATGCTAAAGAAATTTGCCAATAGTTACACTAAGGTATGTTAATTTCAGATTCATTCACAATCAAACTTATGAACCTAAAAATTATATACTTTCACCTTAACATTCAAATCAAATGCACAAACAATTTGAGATAAGGTGATGAATAACCATTGCTTAATATAGTAAGTTAGATTTCTCTAATTACTAATATATTGTATTACATGATCATTAATTATTTTGTAATATTTGTCTTTAGAATCTATATTTATGCTATCCTTAATGTTGTTGAAATAAAGCAATATGATAGTACTTTTTCAGTGCTGTTAACCAAAATCTATCCAGGGTTTTCCCATCCAATCTTAAAGTTTATTGGAAGGAAAACCTTTCTTGCATTGGTTTTGAGCAAGAACATAATAACTCCTGTGTAAAGGTAAAATTATTATCGACCATGAATTCACACTAATTGTTTGAAATTTGAACTAATTTAGAATTCATTGAAGTAATGTAAAATCAAGAATAATTCATGTCAATGATGGTGTTGCCTAGTGGCTGTTTACCAAAATCAGTCCAGAGTTTGATCATGGGGATTTTTTAAAATAGGATTGTTTTAGCTATGACTTGCAAATGTTCCTTATTTTAATGTTATCTATCCTTTATGAAATGGTATGATATGGTAAAGTAATGGTATTCTGATAATTAGGGTAAAATATATAATAAATCATGGAAGTGGTGCAACTAATTGTGCAAAGAACTCTAGTGCCTAAACTCTATGCAGAATTTTTCCAAAGTTGATATTCTCCAAAGGATCTGAATTAACTGTAGACCCTGCAAATTTGAAACAGGGCTTATAATTATTAGAACTTGGTGTGTGAAGCTCATACCATAGAGCAGGGTGACCAATCTAGATTGACTGGAGGCAAATTGTTCAAATAGGAAGAGGTTGCAGGTGATCTAACAATTAAGAACTAAAAATCTATATAATAATTTCCAGATTTGGAATGTTTTATGAACAACAGCAATGCAATTTGAGAATGTTTTTGTTTGGTTTCATAAACAAAGTTTTGAAAATATTGACCAATAGACTAGATGTAATCTGTTTTTAAATTTGTCAGTTTTATAATCCTTAATATATACAACAAACAGAAACTTCAACATTGATTTATAATTAAAATTTCTTGTTGGTCATTGTTTCCTTTAGATTAAGTACAAATTTAGTTGTTCTGATCAATAATAGGCCTAAAGTGCTCACTTGACAACGAAGTGCAATATCTAGTTTTTACATATTTTGGCCTTGAGAATATGTTTTTCAGAAATTTATATTGATCTCCAAAATTATTATATTTTTAGTTTGTAGAAATTTTTAAGATGAATCTTTATACAATGCAAAATGGAAGTTTCTTGAACTCTAAATACATGAATAGATATGAATCTGAAATATTTTATTTGTCCACTGCAATTGAAATACATTCAAAATCACTAATTGTTCTTTCAATTGTTGAGATATTCCCAATATCTTTTAGCACCTACAACATAGGATGACAAACTTATTACAGTAAAATCATTTGTTTTAGATTTTCTTTGTAGATGCTCAAATGATATTCAATTTTTATATGGGTATTTATTTATTTGGAATTTGTGCACAGAACTTATCTAAAACGTCAAATTTGTTTATTGGGCTAGTTTAAATTGCTATGTAGGCTCGATCTGGCTTGCAGACCATAGGTTTGGAGAGCCTTACCATAAACATTACAAGGGTAGAAACAATATGCACTGAAACTAAAAAGAAAAAGCTGGAAATGTAAATGTTATATAAAAAATATTAGTTTTTAAAATATAAAAGGGCACTCTAATTATTGAATCAAAAGACTAAATGAAAGAGTTCAAAATCATTTTTATTTAACAAAATATGCAACATTTAATTGACTTTGACTAAATGTATGTGAAATTATTTTTTCAGTTTAAGTGTCTTTTTATGATTCTCAAATATTTTTTTTTGACATTTTAAATTGTGTTTTTCATTTTTCTTTCTCTCTCTTTCTCCTCCTCTAATCACCTCTTAAGTTTTCACATTTCCTTCTGATCACCCCCATCTATTTAACTTGACACATTGAAAATAAATACACTATACTAACTAATGGTACTTGGAAATTGGAAATAAACTGCACGAATCCCCAAAAATATTTTATTTCTATGTTTTAAAAAAAGAGTTGAAAGAATATCTTGAGACAAGCTATTGATTCCATTTTTTAGTGCTCTTGATTTAATTATTGTTCTTTTCAAAATGTTTGTCTTTATTATGCTCTGTACATGCATGCAAAATAATAGTTTTATTATTATTATTATTTCAAAAGATGTTTGTTTCAATAGCTAGCTGAAATGAGATGTTCTAAATCACTACTGTGGCAGAACTGACACAACTGAAGACGTAATTGTAGAGGAGAGAGCCAAGAAATAGAATGCTTTTACATTATCAAGTTTGGTAGTCAATGAAATCAGTAATTTTGGGCATTGGCAAAGACTATAATTACAGTTATGCAATCGTTCCCTTTAGTGCTAGTGTGTTCTGGCCATATGTGTGCAATTAAATCCATTTTATAAAATTTTGCAGTTGTCAGTGTTCTTCTGGAAATGTGAAAGTTGTACATAGTTCAGTAAAATAATTGCTGTTGAAAAAATGTTGCTGATGATTTTCTCTTTACTTTATACTTGCATTAGCTTCAAATTCTGTTTCCTTTCAACAACAATACAAATGAAGGAAAATGAGAGTGCAGATCAAAACTAGTAATGATTAAAAATTATATTAGTTGCTCCAGTAGTGCGATTAAAGGTAGCCTATATTTGAGGAAATAAATACATAATGTATCATGCTTTTAAAAGCCTTGAATCTCAAAATCTAATGACTCCCATTTCGAAATAGTAGCTTCTAATAATGTAATTCATTTGAAAGAAATTTGATGGTTTTGGTTTTTTTAAACTAATTATTGTTTGTGGTGTAATAGATGCAACAATATTCTCAACTTGGCCATTGTCAGTAAATCAGTTTTATATGATACATTAATGACTTCATGAACATCAAAATGCAAATAGTATTCCTCCTTGATTATTGAACATTACATTATAAGAGAGCCTGATGTTGTGGTCATTATGTGAATTGTAGAGCCATTTCCCACTTCTTTACTTTAGTTTTATACTTGTGTAATGATTTTATAATTTCTGTGTGTTCTACAATTAATTTCCTTGAAGAATGAATACTAAGGAAGTTATTTATCAGCTCAATGTTTATTGACTAATTTAAGGTCAGTCATGCTAGTTTTATCATAGTTTATATTAGTAAGTTCTCCTGGTTAAAATTTAAGAAAGCATTGAATAAAATGTTTTTATTGGATAATGTATGTAATTCAACGTACAACATTCTCCTTTTACTGCATTTTGTTTCAGAGGAATGAGCCTAGATTTGTTTTAAGAAAGTATGTCGGTTTTCTACACCCAGTTTTCAAGAATTTTGCGGACTATTAACATAACACATTTTGTTTGATACATGTCATAATTTTGTGAATTATGGTTAAGATATATTGACTTCCTGACAGCATTAATGGCTTCTTTTTTGTCCAAAAATGTGATGGATGACTTGTTCTTTCTGCTCAATAAGAGGGCAACAAAATTGGATATTTTAATAAACATCGTCTAACTTCATACATATATTGCGTGAAGACCATTATTTTGTACATGTGAATGCGAATTGAAGACCATTATTTTGTACAGTCCGAATTAGTGACACCTTTAAGGCTACAATATTTATTTTCCAGAAAAAATTGTAATTGACTGTTTCTGCTTTATTTTTCACTTATGTTCTGTGTTTTCATTGTTGATGTGGTAACTGAACTAAAAATCCATGTTCAGAGAAACTTCTCCAGTAGAAGGAAATAAATTGTACCAAATGTGAATTCTGCTATAATCCTCATTTTAAAATTAAATTGCAGCATGTGTTTATCAACAAATTATTTCCATGCCAATTATTGTCATGGAAAGTTGTGTATTCTCACTTAAACTTAGATTTTAATGGTAATTTGGGGACGGGGGGGCAGTTTCATATTCTTGTGGGCATTTGTGCAGACCATTTTTTTAGAGCAAGGGATCAACTTTTTAGAGACTTCATCAAAAAGTATGGGAGGTGAGCACATATAGTAAAGAACACACACTGTAAATGCCCAGTGTCTTAGCAAACATACATCTTAAAATGTGGAATAGTTTACTTTGTGTGAGAATAAGATGATAACTGCTTCTTTTTGCCCTTTTTTCTATCTAAGCTGCATGTAATGTAGTAGCCCTGACTTGGATTTTCTTGTTTATTCAATTTGTGATGTGCATGGAAGTGAGTAGATTGTAGTAACTATAGGCCAGTGTTATAATGAGAGAGACAGTTTGTCCCCATAAATTGTTTAAAAGGCAGTGTGTTGTAATTGGGGAGAAACAAAATAATATATTATAGTTTGCAGAACTACCCTTATGGAATTTAGAGGTGATATTTTTCATTTTTAGGTTTGGAAATGTTTTTATTTTTTTAATTTTTTCCCTTTTTCATTTTATTTTTTTTTTTTTTTTTTTTTTTTGTTATGGGGCAGGCATTTGATTTAAAGACAACTCTTTACAACAGCAACCCCAGTCATGCCATTGCTATAAAGTGATGAACTCACTGTTGGACTGTTTGCAGACATCAGTTTCATTTGGTTCTGACAAATTTCATTTGATGTAAGAAAGTATTCTTTGGAAAACTTGTTTGTCAACATGTTTTGACAGCATGAACACTGGCTCAACATGATTTTTACTGAAGTTGAAAAGTTGTTGTTGTTGTTGTTTTACATTAACTTTTATAATATGAAGACCTGCCTCAAAGAACATTTATCTTATTTTTTTTATCATGTTGAGGTAGTTTGCGCCAAAAGAACGTTGTACAATACTTAAGCAGTGGTATAATATGATTGTAGACTGGGTATAATTCTTCTATAATGCATAATGTTCTGCTATAATACATTATTTACCACTCCTAATAAATACATTGCTAATGGCCTAAACACTTTTTTTTTTCTTGACAAAATTATGAAAGTGTGTAATACAATGTTCTTCGGGGGAAGGTCTTTATACATTTCTTACATATAAAAATAACTATTAATTGTGTGTGAGCCTTGTAAGTAGGCCTGGCACTGATTTGTTTCCATTACAAATATGGTAATGGTACCAACATAGATATGTTATATTAATTCTAATATACTGGGAGTGGATTCCATAATACTGTGCTCCACTGCCTTGTTCATTAGGGGCTTTCTAATACTTAGCTCTAAAGCCTGTATTGTGTGTTTACTTGGAAACAGGTGTTTTAACTGTCCCCTTACATTTTTCCTGTGTGGTACAACATTGGGTGCTATTTTTTATTGAATGTTGACAGCTGCATCATTGTATTGAAGAGTTTAAATGATTTATTACATTATTTTTTGACAAACTTTCTAAATCACTGAATGGATACGTCTATGAGATGAATTGACATGCTGTCTCAATCTGTACAGTAATCTTAAAAATCTACTTCACTTGCTTCTAGTTTCGTTCCAGATAATAACGTGCATTCTTCTGTAGGTCTTAATGTCCATGTAAAATATTTAAATAAAAATATTAATTGTACATAAAAATAAAAATTCTTTTTATGGCTAGATCTAGTTGACAAGTTTCAGAAATGGAAAAGAATATTGCAGAGTTTGTTAGCTTTAATCTTCACCAATTCCTCACGCATGTTTTGAATCCCTTTGGTACAAGGGCTTTGCATGATCTTGTGTTCAGTTTTACTGAGTATTCTTAAATTATATTATTAAGTGAATTCAATTTTTTTCTTTATGACCTTCTTGGTTATTTGTAATAGTCTCTAGAAATTTTACAAAGTAATAATTGTGCATTTGTCCAACAATGTTAAAATTGTTAGGCTTATAACAAGCCTAACCTGCAAAGTGTTGGTCTTTAGCACAGATTTAAACAAAAGGGTGTGTACATGTTCACTGGCAAAGCAGAATGATAGAAATTGAATTAAAAATATTAAGCAGTAGTTGGCAAAAAGAAGTACAGAATCTGCTGTTGAGGATAATTGTCTGTAGAAAAATTCATAATGTATGCTGGCAAAAGGGGGCACCATATGCTGAAATAATTTATTTTTTGCTTCTATGCAAAATAAGTTGTGGAGAGCCTGAAGTGTGTGCAATACAGTACTCATTTTATTATAGAGATTTATCATGCAATAGCATACTTAATTTTTATTTGCAAGAAAATCTGTTAATATTTTCTTTGTTTCTGCATTTTTAAATATTTTTTCAGTATATAATTTTGAATGTTAGCGAAGCTCTTGCAACTTATATTAACTTAATATCCTAACAAAATTGAGAATGACTGAGTTATGGTGGTTTAATTATATTCGTGGAGATGAATGTGAGTTAGCAATTTTTTCCAGAAAACTTTAGTGACGTTACATACACCTACCCCAATTTCAGGGTGATTTTGTCCTTTATCCTTCATGATATTTAGAAGGGAATTTAAAGAAAATTACATAACCACTGCCAAATGTATTAAATTCCTTTAATTTTTGCTTCTGAATAAATATTTGCACTACTCGTGAGTCCTATTGTCATATAAACATTACAAGCATGTTTATGCTTGCCATCCTAAATATGTCTTTTAATTAGTGATTTTAGAAAACTTAAAATTATTTAAAGTATCCTGAAAGTTTGAGCAGTTTTATTGTTTATGGCATTTAACTTCAAATCCTTAATATTATTCCTGCAAGATATGCAGGATCCATTTCTTTACAACAGTTCTCTCAAGTAATTCTCATGCAGAGAGATTATAAGATTCCTGAATAATGTGTTAGTAGATGATGTAGATACCCTAAGACAAATAACATTTTAAGGTTTTCATTACAGAGCGCAGAGCCGAGAAACACCGTTTACAAGAAATGAATAATCGGTTGAACAATGAGAAACAGGAGTTGGAAACACGCGCTGCTGAATTGAGTGTTACCCTTGCGGTGAGTTCCCAATCCCACTCCCAAACCTGATCTACTCACAGTGAAACCTCTATTTTAAATTTGGCATGAGACTGTCGCGCACTTTGAGAAACATTGAGCACGTTCAGAAATGTACATTGAAAATTAGTTCATGGAGGTATTTGATATTCAGTAGTCTTAAAGTAGGTAAATGTAAAATATAGATAACTTTATTTCATATCAGGAAACCCAAAATTGGGGTTTCACTGTTTTTAGTTGTAGTATTAGAAGATTTTATTCTAAATTCACAGTTGGTACGTTGTTTTGCATGTCTGTAGGCAGGCAATGAGCTTAATGGGAGTATAGGTGGGACATGAATATTTCATAGTGACTAACTGTAAAACATTTTATGCAGACCCTTACAGATAAGTTATTCAATTGTGAATGCATTCACATTAATGTGTTTCTTTGAATCTTTTCGCAACCTGAATGCAAAGCAACAAATGAATAATTTCAAGAATGTAATAAATGGAGGAAAGAAAAAAGTCACATGAAAATCATTTTTATCACTTGTTTATTTCTTATTCTGAATTTATCTGCTTCTTTTTTATTCTTTTCCTTTTCTTTTTTTATTTATTTTTGTTTTTTAGTTTTTCTATAACGGTTGTCTAGAAATTGTAGGTGTGTAGAATGAATTGTTAGTTTTTCTGTCATTACAAAAGGCATGGATGCATGACTTGTTTCTGTGCAAGGGGTGCATGTGCACACACACTCTACTGATAAATATTATTCCACCTTTGTTGATGACTTATCGTTAAAAACCCAGAAGTTCGATACTGAATAAACACATGCTTAAAGAGAATAAATATACACCCACAGCACTAAACAAGCATCTATTAGCACTAGCGGATCTGGGGAGGAGGGGGGCATATGCCCTCCACTCACCCCCTAAAAAAGGCCAAGGGTTTTAGTTTTCCTTCCATTATTTAGCAAAATTGATTTAAATATTTATTTATGTTCGAATTATGTTATTTAAAAAGTAATATTATATAGAATCATATCTACAGTTTATAAATAATATACAAATGTTTATTATTTAACAAAAATCTATCATGTCCTCTTCAAAATGATACTTTATTCTCCATATAGACCTTTTTCCTTTTACCTTATGTACTGCATACTTCTTAAACCAACCATCTTATACTACTCACATAGTGAAAATAATAGTAATACTTCCTAGTAAGTGGGGATGTGTGTGAGAAAGTATCTCTGTGATACGTTATAGATTTAAAAAAAATGAAATTCCTAGATGTTTATTCAAAACAACTTATATATTAATGATTGGATTTTTTAGTGCTTTCTTTGATTCTCTGCACGCTTTCATGTCTGGTTTATTTGGTTTACTTGGTAACGTGTGTGTTGTATGTTTTTTAATGTTATTAATTTTTTGTTTTGTTTTTTGTGTGAATCATAGGATAAGTAAAATCTATTCAAATAAATTGTTTTGGGAGGAATTTCTGTTATATTTATTCACTAATGTGTGAAAATGAAAACTCTTTGAGTGTTTAAACAATTCATCTCTAAACGTATTTGACCTGCATATTTACTTTAGGCAAATGTCTATTGCTCGAAATATTTGACATTTATATTTTGCTTTCTTTAAAGATTTTTAAACAATTTTTTTTAGAACATTCCATTCAATTATTTTCACGGTCACATCCACTGTGTTGAAGAGGAGTTGATGAATTCAGATGAACTCAGATACCCAAATACCAATACTAAAATTAATAAATTGCTTTGCTTATGAATGAGTAGTCCAGTCAAAAAAGAGTATAGTCATTTATATTTACATTTAAAGTGTGGACCTTGAGCTGATAAATATGTTTCTTGAGTGCACAGTAATAAGAACAATGTTCTAGAAAAATTTATCTAATAATGCAAGTCTGAAAAATTTGAGTGAAGTGTATTGTTGGCCTTGTAAATTAAATTGATGGTGACAGGAGTTCATATTATTGACTTATGGAAACTAAATGAAATCTGTCAAAGTACACTGAGCAATTCTTGGTTCATGTATTCATGTCCACATACTTAAGAAGATTGTTGGTGAATGAATTATTAATCCTATCATCTGTTATAAAGTTCCAAAAGTGAGGGACTGATAAGATACATATGTGAAAAAAAGTTCAGATATGAATACCAGACAGACTAAAGAGAAAAATTGAAGGTGTCTAATAATTAAGGCTTAAACTATAAGACTTATAATACCATTGAATATTTGTGTTGAGTGTGGTTTAATTGGAATATATTTTCCCTTTAACATTGTGGGATTAAGTAAATTCGTGGTAATGAAAAATATACTACTACACACAGAAATTATAAAATAGATATTAAATTAGGGGTGTCCTTCTTTTTCTTACCAGCAGCCCTTAGAACATTAGATAATGATGAAAAACAATAGGAAAACAGTTTAAAGTATTTTTGAAAGTGTTTTCCCATTGTTTTAACCTTGCTGAAGACTGTTTTGCAGTTCATTTAATCATTATTTTTCTACAATTCTTCTGTATGTAATTGATTAATATGATAACAGAATTTTGTTGCTTTATTTACAAGATGTTAAACTAAATTAATAATATATGTGAGTCAAAGAAAATTTTTATTACTTTCCAGCAGGAATTACTTGTGTAGTTCTGGTTAACTGGTACAGGACAATTAATTCTTACATACTCATACTCATTTAAATTAATTAAAAAAAAATTATAATGGGTTATACATATCAATAATTTCAATTTATCATACTTAAAAAATAGTAAAAACAAATCTGATATCATATTAATTATTCAATGGATTTACAGGAAAATAACAAACACTGGTGACATGCTGCAGCAAAAATGGTCAGACACGAACACTGAAGTTTCTTTCTTCCTCATTGTATGATGTTAGCAGTGATGTACACAGTATTACAATGTAGTTGTAACATCAGGTATGAGAAATTGCAGATAAATATAGTCAAATAGTTCTATTTTTCAGTCCAAATCCAAATGAATCATTTTTTTGTATTTTCCCCGAGCTGGGTTACTAACCATCAGCACATCTTACGTGGTCAGAGGCTGCTTAGTTTTCTGTCGAGTTATGCGATTATTTGAAAGTAGTAATACAAAAACCAATTATTTGCACCAGAAACCAATTTTAGCCAGGTTAGACACTCTCAGAAATATTTTTAAACTATTGTATTGACATCATTGTCTATTGTTCTAATGTGACTTTTTTCTTTTCTCTGCGGACACCGTAACTCGTTTTCCCTCATGTCACAAACTAGCAACTTTTCAATTGTTGTTTTTCCTGATGTGTCAGCTAATATTATAGATTCTGACCCAGAAATATGGTTTAAACATCAAAAGTTATTGTGTGGTATTTTGTCTCTCCTTGGGGAATAGAATTGGAGATTATAAAATTAAGACATGGATAAATTTATTACACACACAGATGTGTATTTTAGACAGGTTTGTTCACACATCAACCTTCCTAAAATTTGTATGTCTTGGGGGGGGGGCATGTTCAAATCCTTGTAAGGTCTTCAAATTTTATCCAAAATGGAAATGGAAATTTTTCTTCTTGAATGATTTAAATATTCTCTTTATAATGGTTTAAATTAAAATTAAATAATTGAATTCACTCCTGCTCACCTCTTTGCAGCGACAAGAATCCAATAATTTTTTTAATTTAAAAAATCATGAATTTCAATGCATGCTATAAAATTTGATAATGCTGTTAACAGGCTTTAGAAACAACATTGTATAATATTATACATGTAACATATATTGTAATATATAATGATGAGTAATAATAATGAAAGTGTGAAAGGTAACTTTTAAATCTTCTTTCACAGATAAGATATCTCATAGCAAAGTACGCTAACCTTCACTTCACTGTTGTGTACTTTCTTTCTTGGAGAATTCTCACAGATTTACTATTACGGTTTGGTAAGGTTTTCTTTTCATGGTACTTCACTGACAATTGCCATACTACTTTTGATATTTCAAAGATGTGCATCATACATTGGGATGTACAGGATGACAGAACTGTTACAGAAAATGGTAGATAAACAGTTTGTTGTGTACAAATGTAGTTTTCAAATATTACAGGATAAGTTTTTGATTGCATTGAATTACTTACTTAAAACACGTTAAAACATATTTAACTTTCTAACATACTATGAACAGTTTTTTTTAATATAATTTTTTGTGTAATATTGAGTTATAATTCGCAATTTGTCATCTTATGTGTTAGAACACCTACAACATTGAAAATTCATTTTAACAGCAAAAATATATAAGATCTGTCCCTATGTTGTAGGTAAGCATCTGACTTTAGAAACTCAAATCTTGTTCAAACCCCAAACAGTGCAAATACTTATTTTTTTTTAACTTTTATATGGTCAGAGGGCAATGCACTGTTTACACCAGTGTGTCATTTTTTATGTCTGTGATATTTTGTTTCTTTATTGCGTTTTTTTCACGCTTATTTCAAATATGCAATCAGTATTTCTGCATCGGCTCCGGTTTTTCTCTACAAGCTAGTTGAGTATAGGTTTTTGATATTTGTGGTCTTTATTAGTGTCGATGCTAATATTAAATATTTATTTATTTTAGAATGATTGTTATAATAACTTGATTATATTACATGTTAAAGATAACTAAATTTCATCAATTATCATGAATAGAATATGTAAAAATTATCCAAATATATTTTTCTACATACATGGTAAAATGATGTTGCCAGGGGCAAGATCAAACATTACAAGTACAACATTTGTGAAAGCCAGCTAATAAGCTTATTTTGATATGAATTTGAGATATCAGAACACACCTTTGCTTCACAGCTGTGATGTTGAACTGTGTTAAGTAGGTTTACACGACGGAACAAGTGAATCATAAAGGCAATTGCCCTATTGTGTGGCAGGAAATAAAGGATCATTTAACAAATTAGTACTTTTGTATGATGAAATTACAAGGTAATTAATGTTGAGAGACTATATATTTCAGAAGTGGAGGGCTGTCAAGGTTCAAGGGCATGAATTCGATGGCTGACTTTTGTTGGTGTCTGAAAAGAGATAAACCTGGAACCATACTTAAACAAAAGGCACTTAAGTAATAATTTCTATAAAATAAATTGCCTTGTGTATTAAAAGAAAGCAACTTTAAGATATAATAAAGGAAAGGTGAAATGGCTACATTTCTTTCATTGACATTTATTACTCAAGAGGGACAGAAAGGAAGTCCGAGGATACCAATTTTTTCCACTATATTTTTTTCTTTAGTATAATTTTCTATTATCAAAAGTTGCATTGAAGCTATCTTGTGTTTAATTCTCTTAATAATTACCTTCATATAATCTGCCGTTGCTGTCACGTCTGTTATCATGTATCAAGGTCAACAGACCGTCTAAAAACAGAAAATATCCTAATTGTAAAAACACTATGCGTAGTAGTCATAGGATCCATAGCACAAAAACTTTGCATGATTCAGGAAAACTAATAATATTTTTGAGTTCAGCGTGGTCAATGCCTATAAAAAAATTGTACACATCATAAACTTTTTTTTTTAAATACAGGCCAATGTTATGATGGTAGAAGTCTCATTTCCATTAAAACTTTTAAATTTTCTGAAATGAATGATCTGAGTTTTCCCCAAATTCCTATTTTTCATTCGGGGAAGTGTTTTTCAAGAGATGATGGAATACAAGTTTCAATATATTATGTAACCGTTACAATTTGCTCTTGTAGCACATCATAGTTTCCTTTTATGCTAGAAGAATCCTTATTTTGATGAATCATTATTACACATGGTTTTTACTTTGATACACATTTTTGTTAGTTTAGTTCATTAATATTATTTGTTATTTGCTTTCTTTGGAAAATGTGTAGTTCTCAAAATTTTCCCTCAAATATCAGTGCATTTTTACAGCTAGTGATAATTGATGGTAATAATAATAATACCAATAATAATAATAATAATAATAATAATAATAATACCAATAATAATAATAATAATAATAATAATAATAATAATAATAATACCAATAATAATAATAATAATAATAATACCAATAATAATAATACTTCTACCACTTTTTATTTTTGAGGTCCACAAAGTTGCATACATTTGTTAAATAGCTTGAAGTTCTGTTAATTTTATGAAATTAATTTCTGTTTTTGTTATGCACTTCAGACACAATCGGAAAGAAAGAAGAAGTTGCTGTCCCTGGAAGAAGACGTAAGAAGGAAGATCCAACATATTCATGAATTTGTTGCGATCATGAAAAATTCGCATTCAGTTCCTTCATCGTGAGATTTGCTTAGAGTCAAGACTCTGAGACCATCATAAATGTTTTTGTCACAGAGTCAAGACTCCAGAGATATGTGACCTCGCAACTTGTGTGTAAACTTGCCAAATAATTTCAAACTTTTTTTATTTCCAAGTACTGTATGGTATCTGGAAGTACTAAGCAATCGTTATTAATGAACAAAATTTCATGTTTTTTATTAGTAAGAACCTGAATCAGGTTTTAAACATAATAATTCCAGTGAAAGCAATAAGTGAGCAACGTTCTGTGTTCTGTGAAGATGTTATTTTGATTGTAGATATCAATTTTCCAAGCATTGAATGAAAGAATTAATGTTCCCATTTTAATTACGTTTATGTGACATTTATCATGCTAAGGGAGAAATTGGCCTTAAACACATTGGAGATAAACCTAATTGATATTACTCACGTAAAGATATTACTGCGATCAAGTGTTATTGCAAATTTTAAGATTGTTTTTATCATAAACTTTTAAAGTGTTTTACAGAAAACTTTCTTTGTTTCCCAAAAACACCAGGAATTGCAAATGCAGATAGTCTTTCATGTTTGGTCACATGTTTTGCAGGATATTATTTCTGGAACACAAATGAATACAGGGTTTCTAAACATCTCCATATATAAATTATGTGTAAATATGAGAGCGCAAAGGCAAAGTACAAAATCTCAGTGTATTGCTTCAGCTAAGGTTTGATGTACAGTTGTTAAATGTTTTCTCTATGTATGTATATATTTAGTTTTTGTAAGTCCTGTTATATCTTCAAAACTTGTCAAAAGTTCATGTTAGGAAAGATAGCGCTCTTGACAAAGAGAGAAATGTTAATTCATGCCAAATAATAATATAATAATAATAATAGAACTGACATAATCTAAAGTGAGACTGTCATTCTCTAGCTCATTAGTTGATCATTATCACATTAAATGTGTGCAAAGATTTAATGCAATTTTATTCCATGGATGTTTTTATTACATTTTATAATTTTATTGATTGTTCTCATAGCACTTCCAATTTCACTGTAGTATTTGGCTAGAGGAAATAATTTATTAATATTGGCATATTTCAGCAAATAGGTTGAAACTAAGGAAGTTTTTATTGAGAGAATTCTAGTTTCATGATGTCTTAGAAACAGTGAAAACTTGAAGAGACTGTGAATATGTTTTTGATCTAAGGATAATTTGTGATCTAGCATCTGGGTTACAAGTTACATAAATTTGGATATCAGCATGTATACATATTCTAGTAGGTGTATCTTTACACACTTGAAATGAAAACAAAATTTTTACTGACAAAACGACCGTGAAACTTTCCTTGTACTTGTTGCAATTATACATTGTATTGATATGTTCATTGATGATGCCCAATCTTTGAGAATAGAAAAGATTGCATAGTGATTTTATGCTTTTTTTTTTTGTTTTTATAATACGTTATTGAATGGAGAGGAGATGCCTGCTTATGAATAAATGAGCAATTTTCAAATTTTGTAAATTTTGCTTAAGATGCCTCCCTTTTCTGAATATTAAACATTTTTGAGATTTATAAACAAAATATTTTGTACCTACAAAGTTGTAGATACTATGGTAGGATGGTCTTTAAAAATTCCAATGTGCCAAATAAGTAATTGGTAATTTTACGACAAATAACAAGTTTTAATAAAGGGGTATAGATGCATCAATTATGGGTTATAAATGAGTAATAAATTGAATCAGTTCATTTTACTTTTAAAAAGAGAAGTATATAACAGTTATATTGATTTCTAAAACTTGAGGGATTACACAGATTCTGTGATGGAAGATGTCTTTCTACAAAATATAATTTCTTTTTGCCCCATTGCTTGTTTGACCATCAAATTTAGACTGTTCTCTTTGTCATAAATTATTCAAATGTTTGTGCATTTTCTGATTTGGGATTGGTAGCTAGTAAGCAAGTAAGCAAACTCAGTTCTTCAAAAGTGGTCTTCAGGCTGTAATTTCTATGTAGTGGACAAAATAAGCACTTGGCAGACCACTTTTGGGTTCTCCTATTTCCCCTGCTTGTCATTCCACATTTTTCCAACATTCACTTCATTTTCACTATCATTACTCATTAGGTCATTACTCATAGGCCTCTTTGGCCTAGCTGTGTTAACGCCAATAAATGAAAGAAAAGTTGTCAAAAATGTCAGAATTACGTTTTAATTCATGATTTTGTATCACTGTAGCAAGTACAGCAGAACACAGTGTGAAATGAATTTTGTGCTTCTTAAGATGGAAATTGTTTCTATACAACTGTCCTTGGGACTTGGGACAACTTATTGTGTCCTATAAGTAGATTCTCTTACGGTGAGAGTTTTGCTGCAGTTGGGACATGGAAGATCATTCAGCATCTGTGTACATATCCCTAAAAATAACAAGTGCTAATTATTTGCGAAATGTGAGTTACATCATCCTGTAATGCAAATTTCCTAGGCTGGGAAATTCTCTGCAAGTTGGATTTTTATATATAATTGACCTAAAATTAATCATGATGATTTTAACGGTACATGGGTGCTGCAGGTTGGGAAGGAGGAGTAAAAGTGCAATTGCATCTCGTCAATGCGTGAGAAAAAAATTAAGGTTAACTACAACTAATCTGTTTTGATACAATTTTTAAGTATCAATGATCCAAGTCCTTTTATTAAAGGTCAATAAGAATTATCAATGGTACCAAAATTACTATTATAATTTTACCAAATGTTTGGGGGGTGTTTTTGTTTTCTTTAGGTGACATGCCTGGCAGTACCTATGGTTGAAAATTAAAATAACAAGGAAGAGTTTTAAATGTGAAAAGTGACATGTGGCATCTTTTTTTACATTTTTTTTAATTCCAAGGCCATAATGCATGCAATTAGTTTTTAAAACTTTTTTGGTGCTCGTCTCTGAGATGACCTCTATGTTGAGGTTTTAAGAGATTTTTAATAACAATTTTTGTTATCTGTTATAACTATTATAATTGTTTCTTGGTACATATTCATTTCATTATAATTTTATTTTTCATATGATTTATTATCTGCATTTGATCAGACTGTCAACATTTGCAAATTAATTTTTAACTTGCTTTTTCTAGAATGTTCAGGGCTTTAAATCACTAGCCTTTGTAAATGTGCTTTTGAACTTTTGCTATTGGATGTGAGGAAAAAGCATTGGTGTAATCTGTCCTGACACTGTTTCAGATTAATTGCTAGAGTTTTAATTTGATTCAGAATTTGTAATGTTTTGAATAACTTAAGCATGTCAGGGACGCTATCTTCAGTCAGAAAAACCAAAACTGAATGAAATAAGAAATTTTGATATAACATCTTGTGTTTGCTTCAATACATGTTATTAATTTTTTATTAAAACTTGAAAAAACTAGGTGTAAAAATACAAATTTGTGATTTATAAAAAATGAATGTAAAATTAATATGAAATCATTGTGTTATTTTTTTAATATTGGCAATGTAAATATGTAAAAAGAGTATGTATGTGTATGTATTTGTGTGCAGATGTTGGCAAGAGTGATTCCTACTTGTTTCTGACTGACTCATTAAGTTTATTTACTTGTTAATATTATTTAATATTTAATCATATGAAATATTGGACTCCTCATTCAGTACTATTCATTATAGTTTGTTCAGAAATTGCAGAACAAACAATTAATGTATTAAAATTATGTATTGTATTTTGAGAATTGACATAAAGTACTTTATTTTAACATGTTTATTATTGTAACTCGCAGGAGACTAGTTTTCTTGAAACAACAAGTTTATTTACTGTAAACCATGATGGCCTGAAATAGATTTTGGATTTTTCCTTTGGTAAAATTTTCTGTACCTATTTTACCTACTCTGCCTTAATTCGTAAGAAGACGAAATATAGTAATCGTGTGCCGGAAGATGGCGAATTTTCTATAGAAAATCTCTTATTCTGGGCCCTGGTCCTGAAGACTGAACAGAACTCTCAGAGAGCCAACAGGCGCCAATCAGTCGCTGGTGTTTCAGTGCTCCATAGATCAAAAGAAAGGAATCTCCCGGGATTTGATGAGAGTTTTATCCCTTGCGAAACAAATAATCAGCTGAACTGTCCTCGCCGACAGATCGAAACGCTGATCCAAGGAAGCTGCGTTCCCAAGGGACATTGCCTTCGCTCCTACGACAGTATCTGATGTCACTTCTTCGAAAACTTCTGGAAAATTGTTTTGGGAATTAAAAGGGTCTTTCGTATTGTTTGTTATAAAATTGCTGTCACACATATCCTTTTAAAATTATTCAATAAAATTTACGCTGTTCATCAGTACGCATAGTAATTAAAGTTTTCAATTAAGAGTATGGATGTGTGAAATGTGACCTACCCAACGCACTAGTAACTACTTTCGTAGATGCCCGACAGAAGGCAGCAAAAATTAAAAGATATTACGTCAAAACGGGGCAACGGCCCGCATTCATGTCTAGCAAGAGTCCTGGTACGGACTGCTGCTCTACTTGTAGAGAATTGTAGCACATTGAAAATCATGCAGGAACGGCCATCAGCCAATTCCAGGTAGCAGAACTGTTTGGTAAATCGTATATGAATTGTACGACTGAGAAAGCTGTGAATGCTTTTGAGGTCCGTGTTATTGTACTCTCTGACAAATTCAAATTCGTGGAGAAAGACGTCCTTCCTTCACAGGTCACAGACTAGATATCCATTTCTCCTGCTACACTGACAGATAAGTTGGCATTAAATGGAAAAGATCTTGAAGTGCATCAGTCATGTGATCAAACCATAAATCACTCATCCGAGCTATCGCCATCTGTACTGAACAAGGTCCCAACACCCTCCACGGAACGCGACTCCCCATATTATGAAATTTTAGAGAATCACAGGAAACAACATTACTCTGGATCGGACATTATGCCCATTCCGAATACAGGATTGAATGGAAAACGAATGCGACGAGGAAAGAAGTCCAACAATCTGGCATCGTCACCTCACAAGAGAGCACCTAAAATGCCAATAAGAAATGGCTTTGCAACTCCACAAGAGAGGAAAGGAAAATAATAAATCCGTTGCTACTGAAAATACTTCGATAGGAATATGCTCTGCTTGCGAAATGGAATTCGAATACCCTCCAGCTGACGACTGGATCCAAAATGATTCGTGTAAAGAGTGGTGGCATGAAAATGAACTTCCTATGAGAGAGGGCAATTTCTGTGTGATTTGTGTGGAAATTAATGTATGCAGTATCTGCTTTGAATTTATTATGAAATTAAATTTTTTTATATGAGTATAATTTGTAATTGGAGCCTGTATTATGACCTTTCAGAACCTACGTATCAGACCATTTACCAATCAAATTCATTTACCAATACAACTGATGTAACATTAATTTATTGCGTATGATCCTTGTCAATATTATTAATATATTTCTAAGGAAGTATAGATGTTCGGAATTTACCCGCACCTGGGGCAAGTGCCACCAAAACAAATCGTTATTCGCGATGCACATATCAAAGAGAATACAAAATGTAGATTCAGAAGAAAAAAAAAGCCTCCTAGGGCAATCAGATGCAAAGATACAACAAACGTATGTTTCGTGTTTTATTTTTTCTCGGCTTCTATTGCGTACAGCCGCTGAAAAAAATTAGAGACAGGGACTAATAGTTGCATTTGAAGGTATTTTGTCAACTAATTTTTACGCCAAATTCAAATATAAATAAATAAATCTTTGAAATTGATTTTAGACATGATAACGTTGGAGTACTGTCTTAGTTCTTCTCCCTAGAACGCGTCTTATAACATTCTATAACATATTTTTTCCGATTTTTAAAGAATGTGGATGATGGTGAAAAACAATTAAAACCATCTTACCAATTTAAAAATTTGATTAAATTTATATTTAAATTATTGAAAAGTCTAGGTTACCACCATGATTTACAACTTTTCATTGACAAATATTCGTTTTTATGTACAAAGAATTTATATTATCTAAATAAAATCATCAAACACCTTTTCATTTTTATATTTATGTAGTGTTTGCAATGTAAATCAAATTACTCGATTTGAAATATATGAATTATTCATTTTTATAATTTAAATCAAATGACTTAGTTGTAGAATAATTAATCATTGAAATGTACAATGATTCCAATCATTGATCATTGACATTCATAGATAATTAATTATTGTCAGTTTTCTTCAATATCTGGAGTTACGGGTCCGTTTATAAACAGTCTACTCAAAATTTCTGAGTATGTTCTGTTTTAACAATTTTCGCCAAGTAACGAGCATGTGCCAAATAAATGATCGCAGTTATGTGGGAGTAGCATCCCAGGGTTCACAATAATATCGTTTCACTCCCGATAATCCACCGGAGAAAAGAGATGAATGGGCTCCCGGGTGCATATATTTTTTTCTCGCTCTGCGCCGTACAATTTTGCGTCACGAAACACACGTGTACTTTGGTTGAAAAGCGAGACCAGACGAGGCAATATCACGAAGGTGTCTGTCCGACCTCGAACTGCTCCCATCCGTCCGTTCCTTCTCGCTTGGCTGTCACCTCGGCTTATCACAGACTGGCCCACCTACAGAAACCGGAGTGCCCGACACACTGGTGAAACCACACAGTATACTCTCTGGGTGAAACGTCGGCACCTCAGCCTTCGACGCGGCGTCACCCGGACAGCCCAGATCACGTTCAGAAATATTTTGTAAGTTGCATAAAGTGAAAATTTTCAACGGTGACCAATTAAAAATAACACGATGATGGTGTAATTGAAAGAAAAGGTGCGATCATTTAAAAAAGTGTTATACGTTTCTGTTTCAATGACTCGTTTAGGTTTAGGTTAATTTCGTCAAAAAACTGTAAAAACTATGTGACGTATGGGGGAGAAGATAATCTGTGTACGTTTTCTTGAGTGCCATAATCCCTTCCCATCATTTTAACTATAAATAGTTGAAAGATGAGCAACAGTTAAACATAAATAAATAAAAATAAAATTAAAAAAAGCGCGAGATTAGTAACATTTCAAAAACTAGACATTTTCTTTCTCGAGTTATAGAAAACTTATTTGCAACGGTAAACGAACTGCAGGTTTGATTTTTCTGCATTGCTAACAAAATCCTCCAAACTCAACCTTACATATACTCCTACCACTCCAAGCAAAATGAGAGTTCAAAAAAACTTGTTCATGCTACATTTACGTCCAGAAGCAAAACAAGAAGTCAAAAACCGCGTCCAAAAACCATCTCAGCATTTGCTCAATAGATCAGGGAAACTGGACAAAAACCTGATCGAGATGGGGGTCATTGACCCGAAAGCTAGATTATTTGTTACAAGCTTATTAAGTCTTTTTAAAAATATATACAATATAAATGTAAACTAATTAATTGTATATCACTGTTTTGTTGAAAAAATCATTATTTTTCTTTTTGATGATCAGTAGTTTAGTTTCTAATTGTATAGAAGTACAGTTTTGCTGCAAAAAATATTTTACTTTTAATTTAATTTTCTGTACCGACTTCAATTATTTAATGTCACCTGGTCATGTATTGTATGTGGATTTCTGATAGTGAGCTGTTGACACTTGATTTCTCCCACGTGTATTGTAATTATAAATATCAGTAATGGTAAGATTCCAAGCTGAATGAAGAGAGCTTTGCAGGGATCACGTGGATGGCATTTTTTCAATATTCGAATAATTTTCTTTTGCGATATAAAGGTCTGAGTGTTACATGATGAGCTTCCCCAGAATACTATGCCGTATCTCAGGCGGGATTGCACATTTGCAAAATACACGCAACGAGCTACATGAAGGCTGACAGAATTTAAAAGAATTCTGAATGCATAACAAAAGTAACTTAATTTAGTGTTTAATTCTGTTATATGTACATTCCATTTGAGGTTTGACTGAATTGACAGACCTAGAAATTTTGTTATCTGAACATCATCTAATTGAATATTATTCATTTTTAATGGAGCATGTGATTGCTGGTTTGAAAGGCAAAAACTCATTGAAACTGTTTTTCCTTCATTAACTATTAATTTGCTACTACAAAACCAAATTGAAACTTCTGAATTCGTACTATTTATTGTTTCTTTTTTGCAAAGAACATTCGTGTCATTGGCAAACCGAACAGTTCTTCCGTTTTTAATAGACGAGGGTATATCGTTTACGTATAACAGCAATGCGTTATGCACCTAAGATCGAAACTTGCGAACCCCCCTTTTCAATTGGTAAAGAATTGGAAAAATAAGTAAATAATTTCCTTTCGTGCCAGTACGGTATTTCTACTCTTTGAGGTCGATGTTTAAGGTACGAGGTTATTCAATCAATGGCGATACAACGAATTCCATAAGAAGGTAATTTTGATAGCAAGATGTTATGATCAATAACGTCAAAAGCTTTCGAAAGATCTAAAAATATTCTAATGGATGCTTCATTTTGGTCCATTGGTGAAGCAACATCTTTAAGAAAAAAATGGTAGTTTCCGTAGATTTTTATTTTCTTAAACCGTGTTGTGAGTCTGAAAACGCTTTTTTTTTAAAGAAAAGTTTCCATTCGCGTATAGAAAAGCTTCTCCAATATTGTTGAGAAAACTGACAAAAGATTTTGGCAATTTTGAATTTTAATTTTGTTCCCTTTTTTAAAAAGTGGCCTAATTTTTGATGTTTTGAAATCATCTGTAAATATTCTTATGCATAACGAAGCATTGAAAATGTAGGTTAACGGGTGTATGAAGTCATGTACAAAAGGTTTCACTGAACAATCCGGAAATTCATCTAAACCAAAATACACATGAAGGCATGAAGGCTGACAGAATTTGAAAGGATTCTGAATGCGTAACATAATGAACTTAAGTTAGTATTTAATTCTGTTCTTTGAGTGAATTGAGAGACCTAGAAATTTTGTTACCTTAACATCAGCCTATTTTATATTGTTTATTTTCAATGAAGCATGCAGTTGCTTATTTGAAATTCAAAAATGCATTGTTACTTTTGAATCGTATATTTTGAAATCGCAGTTTTGAAAATA